TCCCTCTCTTGGAGTCCACGCACCTCACCCCCCCTCTCTTGGAGTCCACACACCTCACCTCCCTCTCTTGGAGTCCACACACCTCACCTCCCTCTCTTGGAGTCCACACACCTCACCTCCCTCTCTTGGAGTCCACACACCTCACCTCCCTCTCTTGGAGTCCACACCCCTCACCTCCCTCTCTTGGAGTCCACACCCCTCACCCCCCCTCTCTTGGAGTCCACACCCCTCACCACCCTCTCTTGGAGTCCACACCCCTCACCACCCTCTCTTGGAGTCCACACCCCTCACCTCCCTCTCTTGGAGTCCACACCCCTCACCCCCCCTCTCTTGGAGTCCACACCCCTCACCCCCCTCTCTTGGAGTCCACACCCCTCACCACCCTCTCTTGGAGTCCACACCCCTCACCACCCTCTCTTGGAGTCCACACCCCTCACCTCCCTCTCTTGGAGTCCACACCCCTCACCACCCTCTCTTGGAGTCCACACCCCTCACCACCCTCTCTTGGAGTCCACACCCCTCACCACCCTCTCTTGGAGTCCACACCCCTCACCTCCCTCTCTTGGAGTCCACACCCCTCACCTCCCTCTCTTGGAGTCCACACACCTCACCCCACTCTCTTGGAGTCCACACACCTCACCCCTCTCTCTTGGAGTCCACACACCTCACCTCCATCTCTTGGAGTCCACACACCTCACCCCCTCTCTTGGAGTCCACACCCCTCACCTCCCTCTCTTGGAGTCCACACACCTCACCCCCCTCTCTTGGAGTCCACACCCCTCACCTCCCTCTCTTGGAGTCCACACACCTCACCGCTCTCTCTCGGAGTCCACACCCCTCACCTCCCTCTCTTGGAGTCCACACACCTCACCCCACTCTCTTGGAGTCCACACACCTCACCCCACTCTCTTGGAGTCCACACACCTCACCCCTCTCTCTTGGAGTCCACACACCTCACCCCCCTCTCTTGGAGTCCACACCCCTCACCTCCCTCTCTTGGAGTCCACACCCCTCACCACCCTCTCTTGGAGTCTACACCCCTCACCCCCCTCTCTTGGAGTCCACACCCCTCACCACCCTCTCTTGGAGTCCACACCCCTCACCTCCCTCTCTTGGAGTCCACACACCTCACCTCCCTCTCTTGGAATCCACACCCCTCACCTCCCTCTCTTGGAGTCCACACACCTCACCTCCCTCTCTTGGAGTCCACACCCCTCACCACCCTCTCTTGGAGTCTACACCCCTCACCCCCCTCTCTTGGAGTCCACACCCCTCACCACCCTCTCTTGGAGTCCACACCCCTCACCTCCCTCTCTTGGAGTCCACACACCTCACCTCCCTCTCTTGGAATCCACACCCCTCACCTCCCTCTCTTGGAGTCCACACACCTCACCACCCTCTCTTGGAGTCCACACACCTCACCTCCCTCTCTTGGAGTCCACACCCCTCACCTCCCTCGGAGTCCACACCCCTCACCTCCCTCTCTTGGAGTCCACACCCCTCACCTCCCTCTCTTGGAGTCCACACACCTCACCCCCCCTCTCTTGGAGTCCACACACCTCACCGCTCTCTCTCGGAGTCCACACCCCTCACCTCCCTCTCTTGGAGTCCAAACCCCTCACCTCCCTCTCTTGGAGTCCACACACCTCACCTCCCTCTCTTGGAGTTCACACCCCTCACCTCCCTCTCTTGGAGTCCACACACCTCACCGCTCTCTCTCGGAGTCCACACCCCTCACCTCCCTCTCTTGGAGTCCACACCCCTCACCTCCCTCTCTTGGAGTCCACACCCCTCACCTCCCTCTCTTGGAGTCCACACCCCTCACCTCCCTCTCTTGGAGTCCACACACCTCACCCCACTCTCTTGGAGTCCACACCCCTCACCTCCCTCTCTTGGAGTCCACACCCCTCACCTCCCTCTCTTGGAGTCCACACACCTCACCCCACTCTCTTGGAGTCCACACACCTCACCCCTCTCTCTTGGAGTCCACACACCTCACCTCCATCTCTTGGAGTCCACACACCTCACCCCCCTCTCTTGGAGTCCACACCCCTCACCTCCCTCTCGGAGTCCACACACCTCACCCCCCTCTCTTGGAGTCCACACCCCTCACCTCCCTCTCTTGGAGTCCACACACCTCACCGCTCTCTCTCGGAGTCCACACCCCTCACCTCCCTCTCTTGGAGTCCACACACCTCACCCCACTCTCTTGGAGTCCACACACCTCACCCCACTCTCTTGGAGTCCACACACCTCACCCCTCTCTCTTGGAGTCCACACACCTCACCCCCCTCTCTTGGAGTCCACACCCCTCACCTCCCTCTCTTGGAGCCCACACCCCTCACCACCCTCTCTTGGAGCCCACACACCTCACCTCCCTCTCTTGGAGTCCACACACCTCACCCCCCCCTCTCTTGGAGTCCACACACCTCACCACCCTCTCTTGGAGTCCACACACCTCACCCCCCTCTCTTGGAGTCCACACACCTCACCCCACTCTCTTGGAGTCCACACACCTCACCCCCCTCTCTTGGAGTCCACACCCCTCACCTCCCTCTCTTGGAGCCCACACCCCTCACCACCCTCTCTTGGAGCCCACACACCTCACCTCCCTCTCTTGGAGCCCACACCCCTCACCACCCTCTCTTGGAGTCCACACACCTCACCCCCCCTCTCTTGGAGTCCACACACCTCACCACCCTCTCTTGGAGTCCACACACCTCACCCCCCTCTCTTGGAGTCCACACACCTCACCCCTCTCGGAGTCCACACACCTCACCTCCCTCTCTTGGAGTCCACACACCTCACCCCCCTCTCTTGGAGTCCACACACCTCACCCCCCCTCTCTTGGAGTCCACACACCTCACCACCCTCTCTTGGAGTCCACACACCTCACCCCCCTCTCTTGGAGTCCACACACCTCACCCCTCTCGGAGTCCACACACCTCACCTCCCTCTCTTGGAGTCCACACACCTCACCTCCCTCTCTTGGAGTCCACACACCTCACCTCCCTCTCTTGGAGTCCACACACCTCACCCCCCTCTCTTGGAGTCCACACACCTCACCCCACTCTCTTGGAGTCCACACCCCTCACCTCCCTCTCTTGGAGTCCACACCCCTCACCTCCCTCTCTTGGAGTCCACACACCTCACCCCCCTCTCTTGGAGTCCACACACCTCACCTCCCTCTCTTGGAGTCCACACACCTCACCCCCCTCTCTTGGAGTCCACACACCTCACCCCCCTCTCTTGGAGTCCACACACCTCACCCCCCTCTCTTGGAGTCCACACACCTCACCCCCCCCCTCTTGTCTTCGCTCCACCCCTAGTCTTAACCAACTAGCTGTGCAGCTATAGAAAAATTATATCATATTATATTAATTTATCAAACTTCATAGGGTGGTAGGGGCGGCCTGCTCTCATACTCCTCTACCTCCTCCCCCCCCCATCTACCCCCTCCCCCCCCCATCTACCCCCTCCCCCCCCCATCTACCCCCTCTCCCTCCCCCCCCCCCATCTACCGCTCTTCCACTCTAAAATTTAAATTTTAAATTTTGCCCCGAGGGGCGAGTATATTGGGCAGCGCCACTCATCCTGTGAGTGGACACACCGCCATAGCAGCGTGTACAACACTCCCCAATAGGAAGAAAACCCGCTGGGTTGTTCATCCTGTCACTTGTACCCAGACACAGCTGGGACTTGCTTGACTGTCTCAAGTGAACAGCTCCTCAAACTAGAAGATTAACATCTGTCGACCCTTAAAGTCTTAAGTTATCTTGGGGGGTGCAAAATGGGGGAATCTTTTAAGAACATTATCTATGTTCGACAAATAGTTTTTTCCTAACTCAATGTGTGGTTCATTATTCTACCCACATTTCTTATGTGCCTCGCATATTCACATTCACATAGGTAGTGGTCAAGGCGGTGTTCGTCACTCTCATCACAGATTCTGCAACTCCGCTGCTCAACTGTTTCCATTCTGAATCTCCGTGGATATTTGTATCCAAGACGGGTTCTTGCTATTACTGATTCTCTCCCGCGGCCACCACCTCTTCGGCCATAATGATTGGGATTGCCAGCTGCAACCATGTTGTACCATCGTACAGATTCACTGATTTGTGCTTCTATCCTCCTTTCCTCAGTTACCTTGTCACGGTGATGTTGCCTGGTAATACCTCTAATTTGTAGAAGTCTTGGGTATGAAGTATTCAATATGGTCTCCTTCACCCTCTCCTCCTCACCTTCCTCTTCTCCCTGCTTTTCTCCTTCACTTCTCACCACAACTTCCAAGATCTCTCACTTCAGGAAAGTTCAAGGCGCCAGGCAGGACCCTGCCAGTGGGTGGGACCCTGCCAGTAGGTGGGACCTTGCCAGTGGGTGGGACCTTGCCAGTGGGTGGGACCTTGCCAGTGGGTGGGACCTTGCCAGTGGGTGGGACCTTGCCAGTGGCTGGGACCCTGCCAGTGGGTGGGACCTTGCCAGTGGGTGGGACCTTGCCAGTGGGTGGGACCCTGCCAGTGGGTGGGACCTTGCCAGTGGGTGGGACCCTGCCAGTGGGTGGGACCCTGCCAGTGGGTGGGACCCTGCCAGTGGGTGGGACCTTGCCAGTGGGTGGGACCCTGCCAGTGGGTGGGACCGTGCCAGTGGGTGGGACCCTGCCAGTGGGTGGGACCTTGCCAGTGGGTGGGACCCTGCCAGTGGGTGGGACCCTGCCAGTGGGTGGGACCTTGCCAGTGGGTGGGACCGTGCCAGTGAGTGGGACCCAGCCAGTGGGTGGGACCCTGCCAGTGGGTGGGACCGTGCCAGTGGGTGGGACCCAGCCAGTGGGTGGGACCCAGCCAGTGGGTGGGACCCTGCCAGAGGGTGGGACCCTGCCAGAGGGTGGGACCCAGTCAGTAGGTGGTCCCCAGCCAGTAGGTGGGCCCCAGTCAGTAGGTGGTCCCCAGCCAGTAGGTGGGCCCCAGTCAGTAGGTGGGCCCCAGTCAGTAGGTTGTCCCCAGCCAGTAGGTGGGCCCCAGCCAGAGAGTGGGCTCCAGCCAGAGAGTGGGACCCAGCCAGTAGGTGGTCCCCAGCCAGTAGGTGGGCCCCAGTCAGTAGGTGGGCCCCAGTCAGTAGGTGGGCCCCAGTCAGTAGGTGGGCCCCAGCCAGTAGGTGGGCCCCAGCCAGAGAGTGGGACCCAGCCAGTAGGTGGTCCCCAGCCAGTAGGTGGTCCCCAGCCAGTAGGTGGGCCCCAGTCAGTAGGTGGGCCCCAGTCAGTAGGTGGTCCCCAGCCAGTAGGTGGGCCCCAGCCAGTAGGTGGGACCCAGCCAGTAGGTGGGCCCCAGCCAGAGAGTGGGACCCAGCCAGTAGGTGGTCCCCAGCCAGTAGGTGGTCCCCAGCCAGTAGGTGGTCCCCAGCCAGTAGGTGGGCCCCAGCCAGTAGGTGGGACCCAGCCAGTAGGTGGGACCCAGCCAGAGGGTGGGCCCCAGCCAGTAGGTGGGCCCCAGCCAGTAGGTGGGACCCAGCCAGAGGGTGAGCCCCAGCCAGATGGTGGGCCCCAGCCAGTAGGTGGGCCCCAGCCAGAGAGTGGGCCCCAGTCAGAGAGTGGGACCCAGCCAGTAGGTGGTCCCCAGTCAGTAGGTGGGCCCCAGTCAGTAGGTGGTCCCCAGCCAGTAGGTGGGCCCCAGCCAGTAGGTGGGACCCAGCCAGTAGGTGGGCCCCAGCCAGTAGGTGGGCCCCAGCCAGTAGGTGGTCCCCAGCCAGAGAGTGGTCCCCAGCCAGTAGGTGGTCCCCAGCCAGTAGGTGGGCCCCAGCCAGTAGGTGGGCCCCAGCCAGTAGGTGGGCCCCAGCCAGTAGGTGGGACCCAGCCAGTAGGTGGGACCCAGCCAGTAGGTGGGACCCAGCCAGTAGGTGGGACCCAGCCAGTAGGTGGGACCCAGCCAGTAGGTGGTCCCGAGCCAGTAGGTGGTCCCCAGCCAGTAGGTGGTCCCCAGCCAGTAGGTGGTCCCCAGCCAGTAGGTGGTCCCCAGCCAGTAGGTGGTCCCCAGCCAGTAGGTGGTCCCCAGCCAGTAGGTGGTCCCCAGCCAATAGGTGGTCCCCAGCCAGTAGGTGGGCCCAAGCCAGTAGGTGGGCCCCAGCCAGTAGGTGGGCCCCAGTCAGTAGGTGGGCCCCAGCCAGTAGGTGGGACCCAGCCAGTAGGTGGGCCCCAGCCAGTAGGTGGGACCCAGCCAGTAGGTGGGACCCAGCCAGTAGGTGGGACCCAGCCAGTAGGTGGGACCCAGCCTAGTGTCAGTAATTAGTAAATGGAATGCACTAGGCAGTGATGTGGTGGAGGCTGACTCCATACTTAGTTTCAAATGTAGATATGATAAAGCCCAGTAGGCTCAGGAATCTGTACATCAGTTGATTGACGGTCGAGAGGCGGGACTAAAGAGCCAAAACTCAACCCCCGTAAGCCCAACTAGGTGAGTACATACCTACACCATAAGGCGAAGGGTAGCATTAAGGCGCTCCCAAGCATTCGGACGTCGTTTAGAAACTTAAATCAAGGCTCTTTAAATGCAATCTACACAATTTTTTTTAGAACAATGTTGGTATAAGCAGCACCTGTCTGGAGTCCGCATGACGTGAAGCATAAAACAAAACTTGAAAGGTACCAAGATTTGTAACAAAATAGGGGCTGAGGTACAGTGATAGGTTGAGGGAGCTTGCTCTTACAACCCTAGAGAAGAGCTGAAACAGAGAGGGACATGACTGCAATATACAGGATACTGAGAGGAACTGACTTTAAAGTGAGAGAAGGTAGGACGAGAGGACATATGTGGAAGCTGGAAACGAAAGTGAGGCATAAATATAAGGAAATACTTACACCCTACATGGGTTGTCAACAACTCGTAAAGCATTCAACCCTGTACGGGTTGAATGCACTGAAAGAATTAGTTGTGGAAGCCACCTCCACCCACAATTTTAAGGCCACATTCGACAAAAAATTAGACCGTCAGAATACTTCAATTATTACTGGACTTGTTGTTCCGACAGACCCACCAAGGCCAGCAGCCAGGGCATACAGAGCTAGAGCTCACTTTCCCCTCATCACTGATAGGTAAGTCCTTATAGGTAAGCAGTAAACAACCACCCCGCACCCTGGCCAGACCACCATACCTAGCGTCAGGTATCCCCTGATTGATGGGGTACCTGCTTGATGGTGTACCTGCTTGATGGTGTACCTGCTTGATGGTGTACCTGCTTGATGGGGTACCTGCTTGATGGGGTACCTGCTTGATGGTGTACCTGCTTGATGGTGTACCTGCTTGATGGTGTACCTGCTTGATGGGGTACCTGCTTGATGGTGTACCTGCTTGATGGCGTACCTGCTTGATGGTGTACCTGCTTGATGGCGTACCTGCTTGATGGCGTACCTGCTTGATGGCGTACCTGCTTGATGGGGTACCTGCTTGATGGAGTTCTGAGAGTTCTTCTACTCCCCAAGCCTGGCCTGAGGCCAGGCTTGACTTGTGAGAGCTTATTCCAACAGGCTGTTGCTTGGAGCGGCCCGCATACCTGCTTACCTGCTTGATACCTGCTTGATGGGGTTCTGGGAGTTCTTCTACTCCCCAAATCTACTTTCTACATATCCACCACAGCCCGGTTGGTCCAGCACTTCTTGAAGAAAGAATCTAGTTTTGTCTTGAAGATGTCCACGGTTGTTGCTGCAAAAGTCCCCTTCAGTGACTTACTGCCTGTGTCACCAATGGTATAGTTATACAAGCTGGCCTCGTGGGGACACGGGAGCTTCACTCTCACTTCAACACTTCTCTCCTAGTAAGTTAGGCGCTATCCCCCCCCCCCCCTCGTGTCCTCCCACCCAACACCTCCACTTTTACCACCGACTAATCCGTTAAAAATGACACACATTTGTAAACATTAATGCACCGTAATGTTGTATGTTTACTGTGTATCGACTTATTTTGGCGCTGAGGGTTGCTGGAGTTTGATGACTAAACTGCTGTATATGTTAAGGAGTGACAAACGGAGAGAAGGGAGTGCACAGCGGTAGACGGAATACGACACACTTTAACATTTGCCTCACAGCAAGTTGGTCTGGTAGTGATGAACGGTAGTTGACCAACTACACCTCATTGTCTGTCTCCTCCTATATTACCAGATATTTATCGAGGTGATCTTGCCCACACGTGATGAGGACCTCAGCTGCCACCAACCCACACATGGTAACCATCCAAACGCGTTCTTCCTGTAATGTGTAATGTTCATCCACTGAATATTATTTCCCGCACTTAGGCTTATCGCGGTCCCCCCCCCCCCTAGGTCAGCTACTGACTTAACACAATATGCAACGAACGACAGTTGACTTACTCCCGGGTATCTAATTTATTGCTAGGTGAACAGAGGCATCAGGTAAAAGGGAACATGTCCAACCGTTTCTGTCTTCCATTTGGACTGAACCCAGGTCCCTTGAATGTGAGTCGAGTACGTCGACCACTGCTAACGGATATTCGAACACCTACATTAATTTCCCTTGTTTGTGTTCCCCAAGCTGTGTTTACAACCATGTCAACAGTTGGCAATAGGAACAGTGACAACGGCTAGACACTAAGATGTCAGTCCTATGTGCTGGGTGTTCCCAGGCGCGCTCTAGTCCACTGAGCCACCACATGGTCAAAAGAATTGGAACCTGGGGATCTGCTGCACTCACAAGGATCCCGAGGCTTCCACTGACGCCTAACTGGGGTTAGGTACGGTACTGGACGACAGAGCCAGAGTGTATGGGGGAAATTGTGTGGAACCCCGGTTAGGTTTCATTGGAAGCCTGGAGACCCTTGTGGGTGCAGTAGTACCCCAGGTTGCAATTATTTTGATTATGCCGTGGGGCAGTGGACTAGAGCGCGCCTGGGGACACCCAGGACACAGGTTGTGTCACGACCCAGCCTCCACCAGTTATGACTGGGTACGCTGTAATCATTATCTATTGTCAATATACATTTATTTTCATTATTTCCCTATGTGACCTTTGGGTCATTTATAGTAAAATGTCATTATATACCTGTGTATGCTACTATATGTTATTCTTTGTATATATCGATGGGTTGTTGACCAAGTGTTAACTGCTCGTTTAGGCCGGCTGGCGAAGCTACTGTCATTACCCCCCCCCCCTCCCCTTTGCCTGTGAGTGTTATAGCTAATCTGACGAGGTTGGTAGCCGTGTTGTGTATATATGTATGTATGATATACTGTGTGCACTGTATTCTTGTGTAGTGAACATCTCTCTATGTTCCAGAGTCTTATCATATACTTTAAGGCTGTAATGTATATTTCTGTACTCGATATTGGAGGTTATATAATTCTTGCAGAGTTATAGGACTTAGACTTTTGAGAGGAAATTTTGACTGTCACGTTACCAGTCATTGTAGTTCTAACGTTTGGAAGACCTGTAATTGACTTCGATTTTTGTCAAGCAGTTGTGGACTTGTACTTTCGTACAGTAATTAATTGACTTTGTCACTTTTCGGGTCACTGAGGACTTAGTCTTGGTCAAGTTGGGACTTAGGTTTTCTGAAGGCAAGTTTAGACTTTTGTCAGTCCCGAGGGTTATCTTGAGGTTATCTTGAGATGATTTCGGGGCTTTAGTGTCCCCGCGGCCCGGTCCTCGACCAGGCCTCCACCCCCAGGAAGCAGCCCGTGACAGCTGACTAACACCCAGGTACCTATTTACTGCTAGGTAACAGGGGCATAGGGTGAAAGAAACTTTGCCCATTTGTTTCTGCCTCGTGCGGGAATCGAACCCGCGCCACAGAATTACGAGTCCTGCGCGCTATCCACCAGGCTACGAGGCCCCTTGAGGGGACTCAGTCTTGTGCAGGCAGGAGAGGACTCTGGTGTTACTGATGTCCAGACTGAGACTTGACCCCAGTCTGGTACTGTGTGTCCCTACCCACTATGGTCATGACTTTATAGCCGGTCTACAGGTGACTGGTGTACCACTGTTACCTGGTTGAGGGGATTCTGGGACTTCTTCCACTCCCCAAGCCTGTCCAGGCTTGGCTTGACTTGTCAGAGTTTGGTCCACCAGGCTGTTGCTTGGAGCGGCCCGCAGACCCACATAGCCAGCCAATCGTGTTGTTAGGCGATTGTGGCCTAGCGACAGCTGCTCCTGGACTTGAGTTTTTGTTAATTCCGATAACAGTTGTGGATGTGTCGTGTATAGAGCGGTGTCGTGTATACACCCCCCCCACCCCCACACCACCACCAGTAAACTGCTGGATTTTTTTCTAGACGTTTCCTACACCCTAGACAACATTATGAGACGAGGAGGGTATGAGGCCAGGAAGGGAACTATGAGGGGGAAGCACCAAGCCATTACTACTATATAGCACTGGGAAAGGGTCAGGATAAGGGTTTGGGATGGGACGGGGGGAAGGAATGGTGCCCAACCACTTGTGGATGGTCGGGGATTGAACGCCGACCTGCATGAAGCGAGACTGTCGCTCTACCGTCCAGGCCAAGTGGTTGGGTGTATGAGGCCAGGAGGGTATGAGGCCAAGAGGGTTTTTTGGTGATTTACGGGAAGGTTCATGGTCCCAGGATGATGTGGGACGGAGTGACATGACAGGTTCGAACGCTCATCACGGCTCCTGTGGATTTGTTCATTGACATATCATGTTAATGTGATTTATCTCTGTGTATGTCAGTACATTACAGTGTTCAACCTCATGTCGAAGCCCAGCCAATTATACTGGACGGTAGAGCGACGGTCTCGTTTCTTGCAGGTCTGCGTTCAATCCCCGACCGTCCAAGTGGCATGGCACCATTCCTTCCCTTCATCCCATCACAAATCCTTATCCTGACGCCTTCCAAGCACTATATATTCATGTAATGGCTTGGCGCTTTGTCTTACCTTCACCCTGTACTTCTGTACTAACCTTCTGGCTTGCTAAATGACTATATAAAATGTCAATGTTTTATTGATCATGTTGAACGATTTGTAAAGATTAATCATAATTAACAGATTCAAAATGATACGAATATTTGTGGCAAAACTGTGAGTTATGAGCAATTGTCGAGACACGAGGTCCCCCCCCCCCCAGGGACCACTCCCTCCACTGCTGCAGGTCACGTGGAGGCACCAGGTCACGTGGAGGCACCAGGTCACGTGGAGGCACCAGGTCACGTGGAGGCACCAGGTCACACGGGGGGCACCAGGTCACACGGGGGCACCAGGTCACGTGGAGGCACCAGGTCACACGGGGGCACCAGGTCACACGGGGGGCACCAGGTCACACGGGGGCACCAGGTCACACGGGGGCACCAGGTCACGTGGAGGCACCAGGTCACGTGGAGGCACCAGGTCACACGGGGGGCACCAGGTCACACGGGGGCACCAGGTCACGTGGAGGCACCAGGTCACACGGGGGCACCAGGTCATACGGAGGCACCAGGTCACACGGGGGCACCAGGTCACACGGAGGCACCAGGTCAAACGGGGGGCACCAGGTCACGTGGAGGCACCAGGTCACACGGGGGCACCAGGTCACACGGAGGCACCAGGTCAAACGGGGGGCACCAGGTCACGTGGAGGCACCAGGTCACACGGGGGCACCAGGTCACACGGAGGCACCAGGTCAAACGGGGGGCACCAGGTCACGTGGAGGCACCAGGTCACACGGGGGCACCAGGTCACACGGAGGCACCAGGTCACACGGGGGGCACCAGGTCACACGGGGGGCACCAGGTCACACGGAGGCACCAGGTCACACGGGGGCACCAGGTCACACGGAGGCACCAGGTCACACGGAGGCACCAGGTCAGACGGGGACACTAGGTCACACGGAGGCACCAGGTCAAACGGGGGGCACCAGGTCACGTGGAGACACCAGGTCACGTGGAGGCACCAGGTCACGTGGAGGCCCCAGGTCACGTGGAGGCCCCAGGTCACACGGGGGCACTAGGTCACACGGAGGCACCAGGTCACGTGGAGGCACCAGGTCACACGGAGGCACCAGGTCACACGGAGGCACCAGGTCACACGGAGGCACCAGGTCACACGGAGGCTCCAGGTCACACGGAGGCACTAAGTCACGTGGAGGCACCAGGTCACACGGAGACACCAGGTCACGTGGAGGCACCAGGTCACGTGGAGGCCCCAGGTCACGTGGAGGCACCAGGTCACGTGGAGGCACCAGGTCACGTGGAGGCACCAGGTCACACGAAGGCTCCAGGTCACACGGAGGCTCCAGGTCACACGGAGGCACTAATTCACGTGGAGGCACCAGGTCACACGGAGACACCAGGTCACGTGGAGGCACCAGGTCACGTGGAGGCACCAGGTCACGTGGAGGCACCAGGTCACGTGGAGGCACCAGGTCACACGGAGGCACCAGGTCACGTGGAGGCACCAGGTCACGTGGAGGCACTAGGTCACACGGAGGCACCAGGTCACACGGAGGCACCAGGTCACAGGGAGACACCAGGTCACACGGAGGAACCAGGTCACGTGGAGGCACCAGGTCACGTGGAGGCACCAGGTCACGTGGAGGCACCAGGTCACACGGGGGCACCAGGTTACGTGGAGGCACCAGGTCACACGGAGGCACCAGGTCACACGGGGGCACCAGGTCACGTGGAATCACCAGGTCACGTGGAATCTCCAGGTCACGCAAAAGCACCAGGTCACACAGAGGCACCAGGTCTCAAGGGGGCACCAGGTCACGTGGAGGCCCCAGGCTACGTGGAGGCACCAGGTCACACGGGGGCACCAGGTCACACGGGGGCACCAGGTCACACAAAGGCACCAGGTCACGTAGAGGCACCAGGTCACACGGAGGCACCAGGACACGTGGAGGCACCAGGACACGTGGAGGCACCAGGTCACACGGAGGCACCAGGTCACACGGGGGCACCAGGTCACACGGAGGCACCAGGTCACACGGAGGCACCAGGTCACGTGGAGGCACCAGGTCACGTGGAGGCTCCAGGTCACGTGGAGGCACCAGGTCACACGGGGGCACCAGGTTACGTGGAGGCACCAGGTCACGTGGAGGCACCAGGTCACGTGGAGGCACCAGGTCACGTGGAGGCACCAGGTCACACGGGGGCACCAAGTCACGTGGAGGCACCAAGTCACGTGGAGGCACCAGGTCACGTGGAGGCACCAGGTCACGTGGAGGCACCAGGTCACGTGGAGGCACCAGGTCACGTGGAGGCACCAGGTCTCAAGGGGGCACCAGGTCACGTGGAGGCCCCAGGCTACGTGGAGGCACGAGGTCACACGGAGGCACCAGGTCACACAGGGGGCACCAGGTCACACGGATGCACCAGGTCATGTGGAGGCCCCAGGTCACACGGGGGCACCAAGTCACGTGGAGGCACCGGGTCACGTGGAGGCACCAGGTCACGTGGAGGCACCAGGTCACGTGGAGGCACCAGGTCACACGGAGGCACCAGGTCACACGGAGGCTCCAGGTCACACGGAGGCACTAAGTCACGTGGAGGCACCAGGTCACACGGAGACACCAGGTCACGTGGAGGCACCAGGTCACGTGGAGGCCCCAGGTAACGTGGAGGCACCAGGTCACGTGGAGGCACCAGGTCACGTGGAGGCACCAGGTCACACGGAGGCACTAAGTCACGTGGAGGCACCAGGTCACACGGAGACACCAGGTCACGTGGAGGCACCAGGTCACGTGGAGGCACCAGGTCACGTGGAGGCACCAGGTCACGTGGAGGCACCAGGTCCCGTGGAGGCACCAGGTCACACGGAGACACCAGGTCACACGGAGGCACCAGGTCACACGGAGACACCAGGTCACACGGAGGCCCCAGGTCACACGGGGGCACTAGGTCACACGGAGGCACTAAGTCACGTGGAGGCACTAGGTCACACGGAGGCACTAAGTCACGTGGAGGCTCCAGGTCACACGGAGGCACTAAGTCACGTGGAGGCACCAGGTCACACGGAGGCACCAGGTCACGTAGAGGCCCCAGGTCACACGGAGGCACCAGGTCACGTGGAGGCACCAGGACACGTGGAGGCACCAGGTCACACGGAGGCACCAGGTCACACGGGGGCACCAGGTCACACGGAGGCACCAGGTCACACGGAGGCACCAGGTCACGTGGAGGCACCAGGTCACGTGGAGGCACCAGGTCACGTGGAGGCACCAGGTCACGTGGAGGCACCAGGTCACACGGGGGCACCAAGTCACGTGGAGGCACCAAGTCACGTGGAGGCACCAGGTCACGTGGAGGCACCAGGTCACGTGGAGGCACCAGGTCACGTGGAGGCACCAGGTCTCAAGGGGGCACCAGGTCACGTGGAGGCCCCAGGCTACGTGGAGGCACGAGGTCACACGGAGGCACCAGGTCACACGGAGGCACCAGGTCACACGGAGGCACCAGGTCACACGGATGCACCAGGTCATGTGGAGGCCCCAGGTCACACGGGCGCACCAAGTCACGTGGAGACACCAGGTCACGTGGAGGCACCAGGTCACGTGGAGGCACCAGGTCACACGGAGGCACCAGGTCACACGGAGGCACCAGGTCACACGGAGGCACCAGGTCACGTGGAGGCACCAGGTCACGTGGAGGCACCAGGTCACACGGAGGCACCAGGTCACACGGAGGCACCAGGTCACACGGAGGCACCAGGTTACGTGGAGGCACCAGGTCACGTGGAGGCACCAGGTCACGTGAAGGCATCAGGTCACGTGGAGGCATCAGGTCACATGGAGGCACCAGGTCACGTGGAGGCACCAGGTCACGTGGAGGCACCAGGTCACGTGGAGGCACTAGGTCACACGGAGGCACCAGGTCACACAGAGGCACCAGGTCACACAGAGGCACCAGGTCACACGGGGGGCACCAGGTCACACGGGGGGCACCAGGTCACACGGAGGCACCAGGTCACGTGTAGGCACGTCACGTGAAGGCATCAGGTCACGTGGAGGCACGAGATCACATGGAGGCACCAGGTCACGTGGAGGCACCAGGTCACGTGGAGGCACCAGATCACATGGAGGCACCAGGTCACACGAAGGCACCAGGTCATACGGGGGCCCCAGGTCACACGGAGGCATCAGGTCACGTGGAGGCACCAGGTCACACGGAGGCACCAGGTCACACGGAGGCACCAGGTCACACGGAGGCACCAGGTCACACGGAGGCACCAGGTTACGTGGGGGCACCAGGTCACGTGGAGGCACCAGGTCACACGAAGGCACCAGGTCACGTGGAGGCACCAGGTCACGTGGAGGCACCAGGTCACACGGAGGCACCAGGTCACGTGAAGGCACCAGGTCACACGGAAGCACCAGGTCACACGGAAGCAGCAAGTCACGTGGAGGCACCAGGTCACACGGAGGCACCAGGTCACGTGGAGGCACCAGGTCACACGGGGGGCACCAGGTCACACGGGGGGCACCAGGTCACACGGAGGCACCAGGTCACGTGGAGGCACCAGGTCACGTGGAGGCACCAGGTCACGTGGAGGCACCAGGTCACACGGAGGCACCAGGTCACACGGGGGCACCAGGTCACACGGGGGCACCAGGTCACACGGGGGCACCAGGTCACGTGGAGGCACCAGGTCACACGCGGAGGCACCAGGTCACGTGGAGGCACCAGGTCACACGGGGGCACCAGGTCACGTGGAGGCACCAGGTCGCGTGGAGGCACCAGGTCACACGGGGGCACCAGATCACACGGAGGCACCAGGTCACACGGGGGCACCAGGTCACGTGGAGGCACCAGGTCACGTGGAGGCACCAGGTCACACGGGGGCACCAGGTCACGTGGAGGCACCAGGTCACGTGGAAGCACCAGGTCACACGGGGGCACCAGGCCACACGGGGGGCACCAGGTCACACGGCGGCACCAGGTCACGTGGAGGCACCAGGTCACACGGGGGCACCAGGTCACGACTGGTGTGGACACTCACCTGCAAGAAAGACTACCATGAACATCGTTTCCTATTTCTAGTGAAGATCTTATTCAAGAATTCTACAGTTTAATTAATTAGAAGAGAGAAAATTTAGAATATGTTTATTAATTTTCAATTCATCAGACATACACGCCCACACAACCACGTCTACGCCCACACTGTCTCATCCGCGCTACACCCACACACGCCCACACCCACCTACACCCACACACGCCCACACCCGCCCACACCCACACACGCCCACACCCGCCCACACCCACACACGCCCACACCCACACACGCCCCACACCCGCCCACACCCACACACGCCCACACCCGCCCACACCTACACACGCCCACACCCCCACACACATGCCCACACCCACACACGCCTCACCCACACACGCCACACCTACACACGCCACACCTACACACACGCCCACATTTAACACGGTCACCATGACACTTCATTGAGATGTCACACTATTAACACTCTCCAAAACATTCACTGAGTCACCAGTATGTTATCATACATGGAGGGTTAAGGTTACCGTACATGGAGGGCTAAGGTTACCATACGTGGAGGGTTAAGGTTACCATACGTGGAGGGTTAAGGTTACCATACGTGGAGGGTTAAGGTTACCATACGTGGAGGGTTAAGGTTACCATACGTGGAGGGTTAAGGTTACCATACGTGGAGGGTTAAGGTTACCGTACATGGAGGGCTAAGGTTACCATACGTGGAGGGTTAAGGTTACCATACGTGGAGGCCTAAGGCTACCATACATGGAGGGTTAGGGTTACCATACGTGGAGGGCTAAGGTTATAATAAGTGGAGGGCTAAGGTTATAATATATGGAGGGCTAAGGTTACCATACATGGAGGGCTAAGGTTACCATACATGGAGGCTAAGGTTACCATACATGGAGGGCTAAGGTTACCATACATGGAGGGCTAAGGTTACCATACATGGAGGGCTAAGGTTACCATACATGGAGGGCTAAGATTACCATACATGGAGGGCTAAGGTTACCATACATGGAGGGCTAAGGTTACCATACATGGAGGGCTAAGGTTACCATACATGGAGGGCTAAGATTACCATACATGGAGGGCTAAGGTTACCATACATGGAGGGCTAAGGTTACCATACATGGAGGGCTAAGGTTACCATACACGGAGGGCTAAGGTTACCATACACGGAGGGTTAAGGTTACCATACAGAGAGGGTTAAGGTTACCATACATGGAGGGCTAAGGTTACCATACATGGAGGGCTAAGGTTACCATACATGGAGGGCTAAGGTTACCATACACGGAGGGCTAAGGTTACCATACACGGAGGGTTAAGGTTACCATACAGAGAGGGTTAAGGTTACCATACATGGAGGGCTAAGGTTACCATACATGGAGGGCTAAGGTTACCATACATAGAGGGCTAACGTTACCATACATGGAGGGCTAAGATTACCATACATGGAGGGCTAAGGTTACCATACATGGAGGGCTAAGGTTACCATACATGGAGGGCTAAGGTTACCATACATGGAGGGCTAAGATTACCATACATGGAGGGCTAAGGTTACCATACATGGAGGGCTAAGGTTACCATACATGGAGGGCTAAGGTTACCATACATGGAGGGCTAAGGTTACCATACAAAGAGGGTTAAGGTTACCATACATGGAGGGCTAAGGTTACCATACATGGAGGGCTAAGGTTACCATACATGGAGGGCTAAGGTTACCATACATGGAGGGCTAAGGTTACCATACATGGAGGGCTAAGGTTACCATACATGGAGGGCTAAGGTTACCATACATGGAGGGCTAAGGTTACCATACATGGAGGGCTAAGGTTACCATACATGGAGGGCTAAGGTTACCATACATGGAGGGCTAAGGTTACCATACATGGAGGGCTAAGGTTACCATACATGGAGGGCTAAGGTTACCATACATGGAGGGCTAAGGTTACCATACATGGAGGGCTAAGGTTACCATACATGGAGGGCTAAGGTTACCATACATGGAGGGCTAAGGTTACCATACATGGAGGGCTAAGGTTACCATACATGGAGGGCTAAGGTTACCATACATGGAGGGCTAAGGTTACCATACATGGAGGGCTAAGGTTACCATACATGGAGGGCTAAGGTTACCATACATGGAGGGCTAAGGTTACCATACATGGAGGGCTAAGGTTACCATACATGGAGGGCTAAGGTTACCATACAGAGAGGGTTAAGGTTACCATACAGAGAGGGTTAAGGTTACCATACATGGAGGGTTAAGGTTACCATACATGGAGGGCTAAGGTTACCATACATGGAGGGCTAAGGTTACCATACATGGAGGGCTAAGGTTACCATACATGGAGGGCTAAGGTTACCATACATGGAGGGCTAAGGTTACCATACATGGAGGGTTAAGGTTACCATACATGGAGGGCTAAGGTTACCATACATGGAGAGCTAAGGTTACCATACATGGAGGGCTAAGGTTACCATACAGAGAGGGTTAAGGTTACCATACAGAGAGGGTTAAGGTTACCATACATGGAGGGTTAAGGTTACCATACATGGAGGGCTAAGGTTACCATACAGAGAGGGTTAAGGTTACCATACATGGAGGGCTAAGGTTACCATACATGGAGGGCTAAGGTTACCATACATGGAGGGCTAAGGTTACCATACATGGAGGGCTAAGGTTACCATACAGAGAGGGTTAAGGTTACCATACATGGAGGGCTAAGGTTACCATACATGGAGGGTTAAGGTTACCATACATGGAGGGCTAAGGTTACCATACATGGAGGGCTAAGGTTACCATACATGGAGGGTTAAGGTTACCATACATGGAGGGCTAAGGTTACCATACATGGAGGGCTAAGGTTACCATACATGGAGGGCTAAGGTTACCATACAGAGAGGGTTAAGGTTACCATACAGAGAGGGTTAAGGTTACCATACATGGAGGGTTAAGGTTACCATACATGGAGGGCTAAGGTTACCATACAGAGAGGGTTAAGGTTACCATACATGGAGGGCTAAGGTTACCATACATGGAGGGCTAAGGTTACCATACATGGAGGGCTAAGGTTACCATACATGGAGGGCTAAGGTTACCATACAGAGAGGGTTAAGGTTACCATACATGGAGGGCTAAGGTTACCATACATGGAGGGTTAAGGTTACCATACATGGAGGGCTAAGGTTACCATACAGAGAGGGTTAAGGTTACCATACATGGAGGGTTAAGGTTACCATACAGAGAGGGTTAAGGTTACCATACATGGAGGGCTAAGGTTACCATACATGGAGGGCTAAGGTTACCATACATGGAGGGCTAAGATTACCATAAGGTTATGCCATTCATCCACATGTTCTTCACCACCTCACCCAAAGAGAATATAATCCGGTGCTAAACACGGTAAACTTGTCTTTGAGAATGTAAGGAGTACCTTGCGAAATGTATCCCTAGGTGTCATAAAGTGTGAAAATGAACTTCCGGAGAGTAAATTTTTCAACTTCCCTGGACAGTGAAGAAACGCTATGCGTACTAGTGGCTTTAGGTTTTGTATGTACTTCCTTTATCTTAAAATCAAACAGAATCTTTGTACTGTAACTCTGCAACTTTCTTTGTACTTTTCCTAAATAAGTTGTTATTATTAAAAATATAAGAAATATTTATAAGATTAGTGTTAGAACATTAATTTTACCCTTTCGGTCATATTCAAAAACATGTTTACAAGACTGCTACCTTTATTTATATATATATAAATATATATATATATATATATATATATATATATATATATATATATCTATATATATATATATATATATATAATGTCGTACCTAGTAGCCAGAACGCACTTCTCTGCCTACTATGCAAGGCCCGATTTGCCTAATAAGCCAAGTTTTCCTGAATTAATATATTTTCTCTATTTTTTTTCTTATGAAATGATAAAGCTACCCATTTCATTATGTATGAGGTCAATTTTTTTTATTGGAGTTAAAATTAACGTAGATATATGACCGAACCTAACCAACCCTACCTAACCTAACTTAACCTATCTTCATAGGTTAGGTTTGGTTAGGTAGCCGAAAAAGTTAGGTTAGGTTAGGTAGGTTAGGTAGGTTAGGTAGTCGAAAAACAATTAATTCATGAAAACTTGGCTTATTAGGCAAATCGGGCCTTGCATAGTAGGCTGAGAAGTGCGTTCTGGCTATTAGGTACGACATTATATATATATATATATATATATATATATATATATATATATATATATATATATATATATATATATATATATATATATATATATATATATATATATATATCATACAGCCTAGATACACTTGTGGTGGGTCCCTCACTGAGAGCATGCATGAATTCCGAGGCGTTAATTGTTAATGCCGTCCTGGGGTCCCACTTGCTGTAGTACGGGCCGCTGACTGAAGCACTATATTCTGCCTAACATCACAGTCAACATCCTACACTCACACACTTCCAAACACCACCATCAACATAGTACGCTTAGGAACAGGAATCTCTGAACAACAGTCTTTATTTACAAGTCTTTCTCTCGCCTTGGTTACCCTTACATTTTATTAACTGTGTATTCTTAAGCTAAAAGAAATTTATTTTATTCCAAACCTGTTTTCAACAATTTTAACATTGTGTTCTGCTTTCTGTTAATATCTGAACTCAAAAATCTCATTTATGCCTTTCGTCCTCTTGATATAAAACTCGCCTTTCACAATCTATAACACACGTCACAACATTTACACATAGCCTCGTAGCCTGGTGGATAGCGCGCAGGACTCGTAATTCTGTGGCGCGGGTTCGATCCCCGCACGAGGCAGAAACAAATGGGCAAAGTTTCTTTCACCCTAAGTGCCCCTGTTACCTAGCAGTAAATAGGTACCTGGGAGTTAGTCAGCTGTCACGGGCTGCTTCCTGGGGGGGGGGGTATGTGTGTGTGTGTGTGTGTGTGGTGTGGGGAAAAAAAAATAGTTAGTAAACAGTTGATTGACAGTTGAGAGGCGGGCCGAAAGAGCAAAGCTCAACCCCCGTAAAAACACAACTAGTAAACACATTAACACTTACACAAAATATAACACATTTACACTTCGTAGTAATCAGGTTCACACTGCTGCTCCTGCTTCCAATGCTTTTGGTGTCTACTCTGTTTCCTGTTACGGGCTCACCATAGCCCGTGCTACATGGACACTTCCTTCTGAGTAGCTAAATCTGAAACATCATCATCTGTTTCCTGTTAGTGTTGTCCTCTCCAATACTTTGGTGAAACTGGCCGTACACTGAATGATAAACTTAAGGAACACAAAAGATGTGTAAATACTACAGAGACAAAGAATACTCTCTTCTGTTATGTTAGGGACTCGAATCATCCTAATCATCCTCAAGATAACTCAAGATAACCATCATTCTTGGAAAATAATCTTTGCTACCTCTACACAGACGCCGGCTTTTCGACCAGCTCTTTTACCCAACACACCCAACATGACTCTTGGCTTTGTTGCTCTTGACTCTTCCCTGTCACAGTACATACATGATCTAACCTTCTTAACAAACGTGATCTGAGTTAGCTTGGCCGTCTCTAGGCTCTCTTTCCTGTCTCTCTCTTGTTTCTAGATTTTTTCTTCGCCTTAGTTTCTTTTCTTTCTATGTTAAAACTTGTTCTTATTTATACCCATTTTCCCCTATGTGTACCGTCTTTTCCTAGTCTTCTTCCTTCTCTAACTTCTAACGTTTACTTTGCTGTACCCGATTCTCTCTTTCTTTATTCTTTCTTGTTCTTACATTGATCCGATTTTTCTCTTATCCTTTTTCTCTTTCTCTTTCATCGAACTTTTACCTTTCATCTAATTCTTACCTTTCATCTTAGTATCTACATCTTTCTCTTCCACACATCCCACCTTTCATCCCTCTCACTTTCCTTATATTGTCTGTCTTCCACTCTCTTCCCACTGGACCATCTGATTATGGTCCACGACGGCCTGAAACGTGGCCTTTACTTCATGTTCTGATGAGTGGTTTGTACATGATATCTTCAGGGGCGTTACTGTGCCTCATCACCTTCAGGGGCGTTACTGTGCCTCATCACCTTCAGGCGCGTTACTGTGCCTCATCACCTTCAGGCGCGTTACTGTGCCTCATCACCTTCAGGCGCGTTACTGTGCCTCATCACCTTCAGGCGCGTTACTGTGCCTCATCGCCTACATCACAGTCATCACACTAGGTCTTCTTGTCTTGGGGATACATCGCCCAACAACAAAAGCTTAATACTTGATTATCTATTAATTTAAAAGCTTAATATCATCATACTAAAGTGTACAATAATATAAGAATAAGGGGACGTATCTAAGAGTAAAAATCGAGGCAATGTCAACCCACACACACACTACTCAACCATGAGGAAGTCATTTCAGCTCATCGTGGGTCAGTCGGTAGTGAGTGTGTCTTAGAATCTAGTGACGCGAGTTCTATCTCATTACATTTTCTCATACAGAAGTTCTGCATTTTTATTTTCGGGTTAATGTGATAATAAAAATGATCACCTTCATATTTATAGAAATGACATCTCTCCCCATAAACAAAAATATATAGGTGACACTAAGTAACTTGCCAAATGACGAAAAGAAACTGAGTTTGGGATCACCTGTAGGCTCATTGGGTATTTCAACCCAATGAAAGGAGCATTTCGGGTAATTACATATAGACATAATCTATATAAAACAGGAGTTTGTTTCTCCAAGGTTAGAGGCCAGATGCTTACGACTAACCATATTAAACTTTACAGGGTGACTGCAGAATGTGGAGGTACTGTCACAGGCCAGCCTGTCCTCTTACAAATTACGTCTGAATCTGGCCGGTTGCCTGTATGGCCGAAAAAAGACGTAATTTAAAAATGAAAAATAATTGTAATTTTTGTTATTTTTTTCCAAAACAGCAAGTTAAGGGTCCTCTGATAGGTTAGGAGGGCAGGAAGTTCTCCTAAGGTTTCAAAAAGGGATGAAACCCGTTAATTGAAAGTTTCCTAACCTAACCGAGTAAGCCGGAGATACTGTGATTCCATGTATTTTGTGATCTGTAATTTTTGCCTCTTCCTTATTTCATCCTTTATGGAGTGGTGCTATCTCTGCTGTTTTTATTATGTCGGGGATAATGCCAGTATCTAGGCTCTGTCTCCAAAGAATGCTAAGTGCCTGCGATAGTGTTTTTTTACAATTCTTGATGAATATGGAGTTCCACAAATCTGGCCTGGTGCAGAGTGCATAGGCATACTTTCTATGGCTTCTTCAAAATCCAGTGGGGATAGGGTGACATCTGATACATGATTTTAAGTTGGTATCACATCCATGAAGAATCATTTGGGTTATCAATCTTTAATGTGTTTGGTGGCTCGCTGACAACAGTATTGATTTCTCAGTATTTCGCTCATTTCTTTATTGTCATCTGTGAAAGTTCCATCTCCTTTTCGCAGGGGCCCGATACTAGATGGGGTTTTTATCTAGATTTTGCATAGAAGAACAAATAATTCGGATCTCTCTCTATTTTACTGATGGTCTTTTGCTCTTTTTGTCTCTCTTGGCTTGCGTATGATTCTTGTAGCTTTAGTTCAATCGTTTCTATTTCTCTACCTGCCTCCTTCGTAGATCTTGAGTTAGGGTGTGACTCGCAAGTTGTTCCGCGATTCGTTTTCTTCGTTCTCTATAAAGGAGGGAACGCCGTTCCAGTTCAAGTCTGCATCTCTTCCTCTTTTTTTTTTCGTAGGGGTATGCGGTTTGATCATATTTCTAGAGCTACTGAGCTTAATTTTTCCAGGCACTGGTTCAGGTTTGCATTTTCTAACTGTTCTTTCCAGCTTATTTCTGTGAGGTCTTGGTTTATTTGCTCTCAGTTAATCTGTTTATTATTAAAATTTAATTTGCTGAATTCTCCTCTTTTGCAATTTATGATTGGTTGTGCAGGTCTACTGCCCATACTTGTCAGAACTTCAATTAAGTTGTGATCTGAGTAACAGGTATTTGTAATCATTATGTTCCTGATCAATTCATCGTTATTTGTGAAAATGAGGTCCAGCGTGTTCTCTTTTCTAGTTGGTTCTACTATTTGCTGGTTTAAAGCAAATCTGGCACACATCCGTAGTACGTCATTTGCATGTGACTGTTTATATAGGCTACTTCCTGGTATTCTCCGATATAACAGTATTAGCTAGGTGCTTAAATTTCAGGTGCCGTTGGTGTCCCCATGCAGGATGTTACGGTATCGACACCATTCTATTACACTCTACGACACCATCGACACTCTACGCTCCGACACTCTAGTCGGAGCGTAGAGTGGCAATGTCAGCGCCATCTATGGGTCTGCACTCCAACTCCTCTAGTATTGGACGATATGTAGACAATGACATCTGTTGGTGGTGACCTGGTATCGGTGGAAGGCCCCCCCCCCCTAGTTTCCTGCCTTAGTCAGAAAGAGAGGTCGATATGGATGACCTCTAGTGGCTGACGTATCAAGATCAGCGCCATCTAGGTTGTAACTACAAAGCATAATATCGATTCCCCGGTGAATGAGTGTTATCCCAGGGTTACTCAGTGTACTGTCCATCTAATTAATGACGTTTTATGTCCGCAGAGGTGACAAAGGGATGCAATGGCGTCGAGGAAGGCAGTTTACCTTGGGCAGTCCACGAACCCCCAGCTTAGTCCTGCAAGAAGACTAAGTAGCCGCCGTCGATCCGAGCAGTGTGTGTGTTAGCTGCTGGTATATACAGTGTTGGTGAAGATCGGCGTATCCGGGATTGGCTAATAAGGGTTAAGACAGTGATGTGCCTATTGTGAAGTGCTGCTAGCAAGTTGCTAGGGGCTGTTGCCGCAGGTTAGCTACCCCTGTAGGAGTTAGTTTAGGACCCCTGTCAGCGTGTTGGGGAAGCCTCTTTTTTTTATTATTATTATTTTCTACCACAGACGTGGCCACACATTTACAATGCTAACCAGAATATATACATTTTCTTCTGTCCTCCATGGACAGGGTTAGAGAAGTGTTAAACATATAGTTCAAGGGTTTATTGAACACTCAACCACAGAAGGTGATTCGGTGATTTTAAAATGCTAAGCTAACCTACATACGTAAATACATAGATACACAGATTTACGTATGCCCTACATAAAGTGTTAGATGTGTCTTTTACATAGTGTCATTAATGTACATTCACAAAGGTGAAATGTAATTCTGATCAGCTTCCATCTGCCAGTGAGTAGCTGGGGAGCGAAGGTGAGGTGTAGGCGCATAGTGGTACTGTGTGGGAGGACTGGCCCGTGTGTAAAGGTGTACTCGCCAGTGTTGGCCAGTACGAGTGGACAAGGTACTGGGACTGTGGAATCACTTTAGTTGATGAACATTGCTAAAGTATTTGTGCCCTTCGTGTAAGAGACGCTACTGTAAATAAGTGTATATATACTATAATATTAATATATATATTGGTGAAGGGCATTGAGTATCCCTTATTCCCCCCCCCCCCTCCCTATTTATTCATTGCACTAGTCATTGACGGCCAATACTTGAAAGCTTACTACTGACTTGGGGACGGATATAGGCAGAGAGGTTATAACCTCAAGAACCCGGTTACTGGCCCATAGTGACCGTATCACAGGATGAGGTTCGGGGCTGGATGTGTGAGGTTTACCAAGCAGTGTTCTATTTTCATTAGTTGGTCTTCAAACTACTAAAGATTTGCCTCCGATACCTTATATACAAGGTCAATAACAACTTTTAAGATCTCTAATTTTATTATCAGCATTTATAGTTTGTGGTGTTTAGCAGCTCAGTGCTAACTATATACAGCATTATGACGTTTTCTAAGCATATAAAACCAAAATAAATAAAATTAGTTAATTCGAAGCTACAAATAACTATTTCAAAAGCGGTCGAAAAATTCTGCTTAAATAGAAGAATTTCAAGTTCCAAATCCATGTTCCAATATCCATGATATTGGAACGAAACCTGCCGGAGTTAGAATTAAACAAAAATAAATGTTACCAAACTATAAAGGTTGTATTTGCTTTCCTCTCATCTCTCTCTCTCTCTCTCTCTCTCTCTCTCTCCCCCTCCCTCCCTCTCTCTCTTTCTCTCCCTCCCCCCCCCCCCCCTCCCCGGCCATCAGTCAGCTGGCCACAGGTCCATACTGACGTAAAAGTCCGCCACTCCGCGTAATTTACATACTTGGGGCAAGGTTTATATGCCATTTGTGGCAACACCATCCTGCCAACTGTGCCATTTGTGGCAACACCATCCTGCCAACTGTGCCATTTGTGGCAACACCATCCCGCCAACTGTGCCATCTGTGGCAATACCATCCTGCCAACTGTGCCATCTGTGGCAATACCATCCTGCCAACTGTGCCATCTGTGGCAACACCGTCCTGCCAACTGTGCCATCTGCGGCAACACCGTCCTGCCAACTGTGCCATCTGTGGCAACACCGTCCCGCCAACTGTGCCATCTGCGGCAACACCATCCTGCCAACTGTGCCATCTGTGGCAACACCATCCCGCCAACTGTGCCATCTGTGGCAACACCATCCCGCCAACTGTGCCATCTGTGGCAACACCATCCTGCCAACTGTGCCATCTGTGGCAACACCATCCTGCCAACTGTGCCATCTGTGGCAACACCATCCTGCCAACTGTGCCATCTGTGGCAACACCATCCTGCCAACTGTGCCATCTGTGGCAACACCATCCCGCCAACTGTGCCATCTGTGGCAACACCATCCTGCCAACTGTGCCATCTGTGGCAACACCATCCTGCCAACTGTGCCATCTGTGGCAACACCATCCTGCCAACTGTGCCATCTGTGGCAACACCATCCCGCCAACTGTGCCATCTGTGGCAACACCATCCCGCCAACTGTGCCATCTGTGGCAACACCATCCCGCCAACTGTGCCATCTGTGGCAACACCATCCCGCCAACTGTGCCATCTGTGGCAACACCATCCCGCCAACTGTGCCATCTGTGGCAACACCGTCCCGCCAACTGTGCCATCTGTGGCAACACCATCCCGCCAACTGTGCCATCTGTGGCAACACCATCCCGCCAACTGTGTCATCTGTGGCAACACCATCCCGCCAACTGTGCCATCTGTGGCAACACCATCCCGCCAACTGTGCCATCTGTGGCAACACCATCCCGCCAACTGTGCCATCTGTGGCAACACCATCCCGCCAACTGTGCCATCTGTGGCAACACCATCCCGCCAACTGTGCCATCTGTGGCAACACCATCCCGCCAACTGTGCCATCTGTGGCAACACCATCCCGCCAACTGTGCCATCTGTGGCAACACCGTCCCGCCAACTGTGCCATCTGTGGCAACACCATCCTGCCAACTGTGCCATCTGTGGCAACACCATCCCGCCAACTGTGCCATCTGTGGCAACACCATCCCGCCAACTGTGCCATCTGTGGCAACACCATCCCGCCAACTGTGCCATCTGTGGCAACACCATCCCGCCAACTGTGCCATCTGTGGCAACACCATCCCGCCAACTGTGCCATCTGTGGCAACACCGTCCCGCCAACTGTGCCATCTGTGGCAACACCATCCTGCCAACTGTGCCATCTGTGGCAACACCATCCTGCCAACTGTGCCATCTGTGGCAACACCATCCCGCCACAACATGTAGCAGCGTGTATATACATCCTGGTGTATTGGCCACAAACTCCAACATATCTGTATACTATTTATACAAGGCAAGTGTAATTTGGCCTCATATATTACCATACACAGCTACACTTATTACCACTCTTTACTCGTAAAACTGAATGCATGCACAATACACATACACACAATTTTATTGATTTTACACACACACACACACGGGCCAGGGTAGCCTGATACAGGGGCCTGGTAGCCTGGTGGATAGCGTGCAGGACTCGTAATTATGTGGCGCGGGTTCGATTCCCGCACCAGGCAGAAACAAATGGGCAAAGTTTCTTTCACCCTGAATGCCCCTGATACCTAGCAGTAAATAGATACCTGGGAGGTAGTCAGCTGTCATCGGCTGCTTCCTGGTGTGTGTGTGTGTGTGTGTGTGTGTGTGTGTACTCACCTATTTGTGCTTGCGGGGGTTGAGCTTTGGCTCTTTGGTCCCGCCTCTCAACTGTCAATCAACTGGTGTACAGATTCCTGAGCCTACTGGGCTCTATCATATCTACATTTAAAACTGTGTATGGAGTCAGCCTCCACCACATCACTGCCTAATGCATTCCATCCGTTAACTACTCTGACACTGAAAAAGTTCCTTCTAACGTCTCTGGCTCATGTGAGTACTCAGTTTCCACCTGTGTCCCCTTGTTCGCGTCCCACCAGTGTTGAATAGTTTATCCTTGTTTACCCTGTCGATTCCTCTGAGGATTTTGTAGGTTGTGATCATGTCTCCCCTTACTCTTCTGTCTTCCAGTGTCGTAAGGTGCATTTCCCGCAGCCTTTCCTCGTAACTCATGCCTCTTAGTTCTGGGACTAGTCTAGTGGCATACCTTTGGACTTTTTCCAGCTTCGTCTTGTGCTTGACAAGGTACGGGCTCCATGCTGGGGCCGCATGCTCCAGGATTGGTCTTACATATGTGGTGTACAAGATTCTGAATGATTCCTTACACAGGTTCCTGAACGCTGTTCTGATGTTAGCCAGCCTCGCATATGCCGCAGACGTTATTCTTTTTATGTGGGCTTCAGGAGACAGGTTTGGTGTGATATCAACTCCTAGATCTTTCTCTCTGTTCGTTTCATTAAGTACTTCATCTCCTATTCTGTATCCTGTGTTTGGGCTCCTATTTCCACCACCTAGTTTCATTACTTTGCATTTACTCGGGTTGAACTTCAACAGCCATTTGTTGGACCATTCACTCAGTCTGTCTAGGTCATCTTGTAGCCTCCTACTATCGTCCTCAGTTTCAATCATCCTCATAATTTTTGCATCATCGGCAAACATTGAGAGAAACGATTCTATACCCTCTGGAAGATCATTTACATATATCAGAAACAGTATAGGTCCAAGGACTGACCCCTGCGGTACTCCACTCGTAACGTCTCGCCAATCTGAGACCTCACCCCTCACACTGACTCGTTGTCTCCTGTTACTTAGGTACTCCTGTATCCAACGGAGTACCATCCCTTTCACTCCAGCCTGCATCTCCAGTTTTTTCACTAGCCTCTTGTGTGGCACTGTGTCAAAGGCTTTCTGACAATCCAAAAATATGCAGTCTGCCCACCCTTCTCTTTCTTGCCTTATTTTTGTTGCCTGGTCGTAGAATTCAAGTAACCCTGTGAGGCAGGACCTGCCATCCCTGAATCCATGTTGATGCTGTGTTACAAAGTTCTTTCGCTCCAGATGTTCCACTAGCTTTCTTCGCACAATCTTCTCCATCAACTTGCATGGTATGCAGGTTAGGGACACTGGTCTGTAATTCAGTGCCTCCTGTCTATCCCCTTTCTTGTATATCGGGACTACGTTAGCTGCTTTCCAAATTTCTGGCAGTTCCCCTGTTGCCAGTGATTTGTTATACACCATGGAGAGCGGGAGGCACAGTTCTTCTGCTCCTTCCTTTAGTATCCAAGGGGAGATTCCATCTGGACCTATAGCCTTTGTCACATCCAATTCTAGTAAACACTTCCTTACTTCCCCGCTGGTAATCTCAAACTCTTCCAGTGGTTCCTGGTTAGCTATTCCCTCTCTTATCTCTGGGATTTCTCCTTGCTCCAGGTGAAGACCTCCTGGAATTTCTTATTCAGTTCCTCACACACTTCCTTGTCGTTTGTAGAATCCTTCCTTGGAATCCTTCTGCCCCTAACTTTAATTTCATAACCTGTTCCTTTACTGTTGTTTTTCTCCTGATGTGGCTATGCAGCAATTTAGGCTGAGTCTTTGCCTTGCTTGCGATGTCATTTTCGTATTGTCTTTCTGCCTCTCTTCTCATCCTAATATATTCATTCCTGGCATTCTGGTACCTTTCTCTGCTCTCCAGTGTCCTGTTATTCCTATAGTTTCTCCATGCCCTTTTACTTTGCTGCTTAGCTAGCCTACATCTCTGATTAAACCATGGGTTTCTCATCTTCATTTCACTGTTTTCCTTTTGGACTGGGACAAACTTGTTTGCTGCATCCTTGCATTTTTGCGTGATGTATTCCATCATATCTTGGGCCGTCTTTTCCCTGAGCTCTGTTTCCCATGCTATATCTGCTAGGCATTTTCTTATCTCCTCATAGTTTCCCTTTCGGTATGCTAACCTTTTGGTTTCGGTATCCCTTCTCGAGTTCAATAACCCTTCTTCAATCAGGTACTCAAACACCAATACACTGTGGTCGCTCATTCCTACTGGGTCCTCAAAACTGATTTCTCTTATGTCAGAGTCGTTCAGGGTGAAAACCAGGTCGAGTCTCGCTGGTTCGTCGTTTCCTCTCATCCTTGTGGGTTCACTGACATGCTGGGTTAAGAAGTTTCTGTGTGTGTGTGTGCGTGTGTGTGTGTGTGTGAAAAAATAGTAGTTAGTAAACAGTTTGAGAGGCGGGCCGAAAGAGCATAGCTCAACTCCCGCAAACACAACTAGGTGAACACACACACACACACACACACACACACACACACACACACACACACACACACACACACACACACTCTCTGGGCTCAGGAACCTATACATTAGTTGATTGACCGTTGAGAGGCGGGACCAAAGAGCCAGAGCTCAACCTCCGCAAGCACAACTAGGTAAGGAAACATACACACATTGTTTGCTGATGATGCAAAGATTATGAGGAGGATTAAGACAGAGGAAGACAGTATGAGGTTTCAAAATGACCTAAACAAACTGAATGAATGGCCCAACAAATGGCTACTAAAGTTCAACCAGAGTAAATGCAAGGTAATAAAACTAGGCGGTGGCAACAAAAGGCCAGACACAGGATACAGAATGGGACAAGAAGTCCTTCATGAAACGGACAGTGAGAAAGATCTAGGAGTTGATATCACACCAAACCTGTCTCCTGAAGCCCACATAACAAGAATAACATCTGCGGCGTATGCAAGGCTGGCTAACATCACAACTGCCTTCAGGAACCTGTGTAAGGAATCATTCAGAACCTTGTATACCACATATGTAAGACCAATCCTCGAGTATGCAGCCACAGCATGAAGCCCGTACCTTGTCAAGTACAAGACGAAGCTGGGAAAAGTTCAGAGATAAACCATTAGGCTAGTCCCAGAACTAAGAGGTATGTGTTACGAGGAAAGGCTGCGTGAAATGGATCTCACGACACCGGAAAATAGAACAGTAAGGGGAGACATGATCACTATCTACAAAATTTTCAGAGGAATTGACAGGGTAGATAAGGATAAACTGTTTAACACGAGAGGTACGCGAACAGTAGGACACAGATGGAGACTGAGTACCCAAGTGAGCCACAGGGACGTTAGAAAGAACTTTTTCAGTGTCAGAGTAGTTAACAGATGGAATGCATTAGGCAGTGATGTGGTGGAGGCTGACTCCATGCACAGTTTCCAATGTAGATAAGATAGAGCCCAGTAGGCTTAGGAATCTGTACCCCAGTTGATTGATAATTGAGAGGCGGGACCAAAGAGCCAGAGCTCAACCCCCGCAACCATACTCATCCTGTACTGGGCGAGTACACACACACACACACACACACACACACACACACACACACACACACACACACACACACACACACACACACACACACACATACATTACGTAACATTTGATTCACAGAGGAAGGAAATTGAACCATTATCTAAGTAACAAATTGGTACAGCCAGAGGCCGAGGCAAGGTGGACACACACCCAGGAGCCAGGAGCTGTGGAGTAATGGGCTGACTCACTCTCCTCCATATTTCATGTCTGATCTTCTCCTCTGAATGTCACATTCCCCACCCTCACTACCTTCACCTGTACCCCCCCCCCCACACACACACCTGAAGACTCAGCCACCTGCACCCCCACACACCTGCAAGACTCAGCCACCTGCACCCCCACACACCTGCAAGACTCAGCCACCTGCACCCCCACACACCTGCAAGACTCAGCCACCTGCACCCCCACACACCTGCAAGACTCAGCTACCTGCACCCCCACACACCTGCAAGACTCAGCCACCTGCACCCCCACACACCTGCAAGACTCAGCCACCTGCACCCCCACACACCTGCAAGACTCAGCTACCTGCACCCCCACACACCTGCAAGACTCAGCTACCTGCACCCCCACACACCTGCATGCCTCAGCCACCTGCACCCCCACACACCTGCAAGACTCAGCCACCTGCACCCCCACACACCTGCAAGACTCAGCCACCTGCACCCCCACACACCTGCAAGACTCGGCCACCTGCACCCCCACACACCTGCAAGACTCAGCCACCTGCACCCCCACACACCTGCAAGACTCAGCCACCTGCACCCCCACACACCTGGAGACTCAGCCACCTGCACCCCCACACACCTGGAGACTCAGCCACCTGCACCCCCATACACCTGGAGACTCAGCCTCCTGCACCCCCACACACCTGTAGACTCAGCCACCTGCACCCCCACACACCTGAAGACTCAGCCTCC